CTGATGGAGATGGTGCTGGAGAGAAAGAAAACAGCAGCTATAAGAAAACACATACCCTAGGCTAATCTCTCACTAATTTATGTTTTCATCTTTCAAGTAAATTCATAACCCCTAACAGCAGTGTCCAGTCAAGCAGGAAGTCAATGGGCACGGTAAAAGGGTGTGCCACTGACACAAATCACGTAACCTGCCAAAAGGGGCGAACATGCCCAAAAAGAGGATATGTCTGCCCAAAGAATTAGAAGGCCAGCCTGGTATGAATGCATGTCATTCATCATGCAGCTGGCCAACTAAGGGCATACTATGCAGACAGCACCCTGAGCTTGGCATAAATGCATCTAATGATGCGCTCGCTCAACGCTTTCTAAGGACTGTCCCCTAGCACTCACTGGTCCATTTGTCTCCTTACCTTCTTACTAGCAGGCAGAAGCTCCTGGTATATAGTCTGGGACAGAGAAAAGCTGTATGTAGTGAGTGTAGAAGAAAGGGAACATGCCACAGTGTTAGAGAGACCAAAGTTAGCATTACCTTAAAGGATCACTATAGGGTCAGGAACAAAAACATGAATTCATGACCCTATAGTGTTAACACCACCATCTAGCCCCCCTGGGCCCCTCATGCCTCAATAAATATAGCAAAATCTTACTGTATTCAAGCCTGAAGCTGTAACTCTGCATGCTGTTAGGCTCAGAAAAACATGCAGTCTGCTGACATCATTAGAAGTGATGGCCTAATCCAATCACAGTGCTTCCCCATAGGATTGGCTGAGACTGACAAGGAGGCAGATCAGGGGCAGAGCCAGCATTATTCAAACACAGCTCTGGCCAATCAGCATCTCCTCATAGAGATGAATTGAATCAATGAATCTCTATGAGGAAAGTTCAGTGTCTGTATGCAGAGGAGATACTGATTGTTTGGATGCATTTTAGGCAGCCATGACCCAGGAAGGATCTCTAACAGCCATCTAAGGAGTGGCCAGTGAAGTTATCACTAGGCTGTAATGTAAAGACTGCATTTTCTCTGAAAAGACAGTGTTTACAGCAAAAAGCCTGATGGTAATGATTCTACTCACCAGAACAAATTCAATAAGCTGTAGTTCTTCCTTTAACTATGTTCATTACCAGCCAGTCCACACAAGTTTTGTTCCCATACATCCCTCATAAGTTTCCATACTTAAGTAAGAGTATGTGAAAAGTAGTTAGGGTTGCCACCTTTCTTGGAAAAACATACCGGCCTTGCTAATTTGCATAATTAAATTTGTATGGGTGACATCACATGATGTAAATCACAAGGAGTGACATAAGAGAAAATGCTGTAAAATCACCAAAAAACTACTTAGTTTGATTCTGCTGTATAGATGGATTCCTCCCAGTGGCCCCATGTCTCCCAGTGCCCCCATGTGTCGATTACTCCAGGTCTCAGTGTTCCTATGCATCAGTGTCTCAGTGCCCCATGTCTCCCAGTGTCCCCTAGTGTCGTGTCCCCAGGTCTCCCAGTGATCCTATGTATTACAGTGTCTCAATACCCCTTGTCTCCCTGTGTCCCCATGTATCCCAGGGTCCCCATGTCACTAGGAAGACGGGGAGACCTGGGGACACAGGGAGACCTAGCGACACGGAGACACCAATGACACTGGGAGACTAGGGGACTCTGGCTGGGACGCATGGGGACACTGGGAAAATAGGGGACACTTGAAGACATGGGGACATAGACACCACAGACACAGACACTAGAGCCACTGGCTGGGGACATGGGGACATTGAGACATGGGGGCACGGAGAGACCAGGGTCACAGACACTAGGGACACTAGCTTGGAGACATTGAGACACTGGGAGACATGGAGGCACTAGGAGACATGGGGACAGTGAGACACTGGCAGACTGGGGGCACTGAGACACCAGGGACACTGGCTGGGAGACATGGGGACACTGAGTCCCCATGTGTCTGTGTCATAATGTCTCCCAATGTCCCTTAGTGTCTCACTGTCTGCCATAATGTCTCCCAGTTTCCCTTAGTGTCTCAGTGTCTGCCATAATGTCTCCCAATGTCCCTTAGTGTCTCAGTGTTTGCCATGTCTCCCAATGTCCCTTAGTGTCTCAGTGTCTGCCATAATGTATCCCAGTGCCCCTTAGTGTCTCAGTGTATGTCTCCTTGCAGCCTTTCCCCATCCCTTATTTCCCTGAGCTGTAGGCTGTCTCTGCAGGGTGGGAGTTGCTGTCTGGACTCTCTGTAGCTGCACCCCTGCAGATCAATGAGTATAGATAGGCAGGGAGGGATATGCTGGAACTTCCTATCCCTGCCTCTCTCCATACACAGTGACCCCTACTGGCCAGTGCTGGTATTGCAGAGTAATCTCTTGTTTATACTGAGAAAAATACCAGCATTTGTATTGCCAGTATCACTGCATTATTGGCCTAAGAGTAGTGTGTGGAAAAAAAAAAAATATATATATTTTTTTTATAAATCAATGGGCCTATTCCATGGGCCTGGGCCTGGGCCTAGAGCTGCAGCTCCATCAGCCCCTATGTTAATCCGGCCTTGGTAATTGTATGTCCTCCGGTCTGAAGGGGTTAAGGGAAAATCCAAATGCAGGATCAGGCGAGAAACAGAAGTCAGGCAGCGGAGTAACAAAGTCGATAAATCAGGCAGAGGTCAGAGTCCAGGAAATCAGTCAGTAGCAAATCAAAGACCTGGCAGGAAACACCAAACAGGCAAAATGACCAGATACTGGGTTTCAGGCAGGGCTGGCTTTTACAGCCTGCTAAATAGATGCAGCTGACCCTAATTGGAAAAGGGCTGCAGGTGGGTCAGCACTGCTTAATCCAGGCAAGGGGGTCAGGAAGCAGAAAAATGCAAATAGAAACTGAAGCCCCATGGTGGATGTCATGGCATAGAACCTGACTGGAATGCTGGAGCTGTGAGTTCAAACCCAGCCAGGTCTTTTAAAGAGGCAGTCACGCCTTGCTGTCTGCAGGGCTCAGTCTGAGCCATGACAGAGCCTCCCCACAAGGAGCAACCTGAGCAACCTCCGGGGGTGAACAGACATGGTGTTAACTAGTCCAGTTCAGGTTCAGAATCATCAGGATCTGAGAGGGTTGGAACATTTTGTTATTCTTTGAGAAGGCAGTGGAGTCAAGGAGGCGAGAAGGGGATGCAGCTCTGGCCTTAAGAGCCTGCTCAAAGACCTTTAGATCTTGCCTGCGGACCACGGTTCCATTGGAGGCAATTACACAGTCTGGGGACAGATCCTCTGTGTTAGAGCAGGAAACTTTAGGGGAGACAGAAGCTGAGGATTGGAAGGTAGCCACAGCAGCCTCTTTTGAGGCTCGGGAACAGGAGCAGGGTTAGCCAGGGCTGTGATGGTGCCATTGGTCTGGTTAGGTGGTGTTTGCAGTCCAGTAGCGTGCAGAGTTGAACAAAAAAGAGGCCATGATGGACTTGTAGGATGGTGACACAGAGTCCCCACATGGCTATGTTTAGGGTGAGAAGGACTATTGGGCAATAGCTGATGTAGTGGCCTCCCTTGCCACAATAGAAGCAAAGGCCTTTGGCTCTCCTTCTGGCTTTTTCATTTACCGTGAGCATGGTATTCAATGTTCCAATTTGCATGGGTTCCTCTGTGTCCATGGTGGAGATAGGGTATAGGTCTCACCAGCAGGTTTGGAACGTATGGGGCAAAAAGCGGGTTTCAAATTGCTCCTACTTTCTTTCTCTGAACCGGCAATCTAGCTGGGTGACCAGAGGGAACAGATCTTCCAATGAAGTGGGTACCCCAACTTTGGGTAGTTCATCTTTTAATGCCTCAGACAGACCCAATCTGTATTGCTCTGTTAGACCAGTCTAATTATAACCGGTGTCAGCAGGTAGCTCCCAGAAATCTGTAGTATAATCCTCCACTGGTCTTCTCCCTTGCCGGAGGGAACAGAGGGCAATGCGTGCAGCAGAGGGTCTCATTGTATAATGTATGCATTGCTGCAGCAAAGGAGTCCCATGAGTCCAGTATTGGACTGTTTGAGTGCAGGAGTTGGTGTGCCCAGGTCTTGGGTTGCCCGGATAACCGGGTGATGACAGTTCTTACTTTAACAAAATCTGTGGCATAGGTACGGGATTTAAGTACAAAACAGGATTTCACACAGTCAGTGATAAAGGAGCGGAAAGAAGCCCTGCGACCAGTGAATCTTTCAGGCAATGCAATATCAGGTTCAGGAGGATGGTGTGTGTTCCCATTTAAATCAGCATAGATATGCTGCAATTCACTTATGCAGGAGGGTCACTTGCCATGTGAGGGTACTCAGGACATTCATCATCTCTGCGGGCTCCATGGTAGTCGATCTGGTCATTATGTAACAGTCACCTGGGGACTTTTATAACAGTTTGCCAGGAGTTGGAGCCCAGTTGCAGGAGATGGCAAAGGAAGGAGGCAAAATCTAGAAGCGCAGTACAGATTAAAGGGAAATCCAAAGGCAGGGTCAGATGAGAAGCTGAAGTCAGGGCTGGCAGTGGAGTAACAAAGTCAGGAAATCAGTAAGTAGTGATGCAAAGATCCAGCAGGAAACACCAAACAGGCAAAATGACCAGATCATAGGTTTCAGGCAGGGCTGGCTTTTACAGCCTGCTAATTAGATGCAGATAACCCTAATTGGAAAAGGGTTGCAGGTGGATCAGTACTGCTCAATCCAGTCAAGGGGTCAGGATGCAGAATAATGCAGACAGAAACTGAAGCCCGGTCTCTTAAAGGGGCAGTTACACCTTGCAGTCTGCAGGATTTGGGCTGTGCTGTGACACCCTGCAAATTGACATTAAGAATGATAGATTTAGTATAATTTATCTTTAGGATGGATAGAGGATGTAATAAATTACATGGAAGTTTATGAGGAACTTTAGAAACTGATACAAAGAAACTAGTCCTGCTCTCAAACTCTCATTACTCCTGTGCGGCAGCAACGACCATAGTACACATCAGCCAAAATACATATAGTAAAAACCAAAGAAAAAAGTTACCTGTGCTCTTTCCACATCCCTATGTATTTTTAAACAAATGGAGGTCTCTAGTTACCTCTAATGGCCATGAAAGGGTATGCCCACCTGCCCTAACTAGAGACCTCCATTTGTTTAAAAATACATAGGGATGTGGAAAGAGCGCAGGTAACTTTTTTCTTTGGTTTTTACTATATGTATGTTTAACGATTTTTTGAAGGAGTGGAGACTGGGTGAGCATCTAATGGAGGAGGGAAGCGAGTTCCACAGGAATGGAGAAGCCCTCGAGAAATCTTGAAGGCGAGCATCAGAGGTGGGAGTATGGACAGAATATAGACGTAAGTCTTCAGCAGATCGTAAGGGCCTAGACAGGACATACTTGTGTATAAAAGAGGATTGATAGGTGGGAGCAGCATTATGTAGAGATTTGAAAGGAAGGACCAGAATTTTAAATTGAGCTCTATATTTTATAGGAAGCCAATGTAGGGACAGAAAGAGGAGGCATGGGATGTGCGGGCGGACAGGAAGATGAGCCTCGCTGCCGCATTCATTATGGACTGTAACGGCGCAAGTTAGGAGCACGTAAGACCACTGAGAAGCGGATTACAGTAGTGAAGGTGAGAAAGGACAGTGGAATGAACCAACAACTTAGTCGCATCTGGCGTTAAGTAGGGGCGGATGCGCACAATGTTTTTGAGATGGAAATGACAGGATTTGGCGATAGATTGAACATGAGGCTTGAAGGAGAGGTCAGAGTCAAAAAGAACACATAGGCAGCGATCAGGAGAGGACAGATAGATTTGCATGTCATCTGCATAGAAATGATATTGGAAGCCAAAGGAGCAAATGAGTTTACCAAGGGAGGCAGTATAGATGGAGAAAAGTAGGGGACCAAGGACGGAACCTTGGGGGACACCAACAGAGAAAAGTTGGGGAGAAGAAGCAGAGCCAGAGAAAGAAACACTTAAAGATACTGCCAACCTTTTGCCAAGTGGCCTTTTGGTGATGTCCTGTGTGAGCTCGGGACAGTCACTTGGCAGTTGCCATCTTTTTCCAGTCGTGGGGCAGTCAGCCTGGTGAGCTAATTGTGGCTTGCGGATCAGCGGTGTGTTCTTTCGGATCAAAAGGAATATTCCATTCCTTCATCAGCTGGTATCCATCTTCAGGGGTGAGTATTCTGTGCCATTCCTCCGAACAATAAGTTTGGCCTGGAACCCTCATTTGTAGATCACTCCTGGGTGCGCTGGTGACAAACCCAAAAGCCTTGCATTTGCAACTGTTCCCCCTACACAGGGTCACTTGGCAGATATAGATTGACACCTGTCCTCAGAGATCATGATACACACTGACACAGAGCAGAATAGAGACTGTTCCCCCTACATAGGGTCACTTGGCAGATATGGATTGACACCTGTCCTCAGAGCCCCTGATACACACTGACACAGAGCAGAATAGAGACTGTTCCTCCTACATAGGGTCACTTGGCAGATATGGATTGACACCTGTCCTCAGAGATCATGATACACACTGACACAGAGCAGAATAGAGACTGTTCCCCTACATAGGGTCACTTGGCAGATATGGATTGACACCTGTCCTCAGAGCCCCTGATACACACTGACACAGAGCAGAATAGAGACTGTTCCTCCTACATAGGGTCACTTGGCAGATATGGATTGACCCCTGTCCTCAGAGACCATGATACACACTGACACAGAGCAGAATAGAGACTGTTCCCCCTACATAGGGTCACTTGGCAGATATGGATTGACACCTGTCCTCAGAGATCATGATACACACTGACACAGAGCAGAATAGAGACTGTTCCCCTACATAGGGTCACTTGGCAGATATGGATTGACACCTGTACTCAGAGCCCCTGATACACACTGACACAGAGCAGAATAGAGACTGTTCCTCCTACATAGGGTCACTTGGCAGATATGGATTGACACCTGTCCTCAGAGACCATGATACACACTGACACAGAGCAGAATAGAGACTGTTCCCCCTACATAGGTTCACTTGGCAGATATGGATTGACACCTGTCCTAAGGATTCCCTGATACACAATGACACAGAGCAGAATAGGGACTGTTCCTCCTACATAGGGTCACTTGGCAGATATGGATTGACACCTGTCCTCAGAGACCATGATACACACTGACACAGAGCAGAATAGAGACTGTTCTCCTACATAGGCTCACTTGGCAGATGTGGATTGACACCTGTCCTCAGAGATCATGATACACACTGACACAGAGCAGAATATAGACTGTTCCCCCTACATAGGGTCACTTGGCAGATATGAATTGACACCTGTCGTCAGAGACCATGATACACACTGACACAGAGCAGAATAGAGACTGTTCCCCCTACATAGGGTCACTTGGCAGATATGGATTGACACCTGTCCTCAGAGACCATGATACACACTGACACAGAGCAGAATAGAGACTGTTCCCCCTACATAGGGTAACTTGGCAGATATGGATTGACACCTGTCCTCAGAGACCATGATACACACTGACACAGAGCAGAATAGAGACTGTTCCCCCTACATAGGGTCACTTGGCAGATATGGATTGACACCTGTACTCAGAGCCCCTGATACACACTGACACAGAGCAGAATAGTAACTGTTCCTCCTATATAGGGTCACTTGGCAGATATGGATTGACACCTGTCCTCAGAGACCATGATACACACTGACACAGAGCAGAATAGAGACTGTTTCCCCTACATAGGGTCACTTGGCAGATATGGATTGACAACTGTCCTAAGGATCCCTGATACACAATGACACAGAGCAGAATAGGGACTGTTCCTCCTACATAGGGTCACTTGGCAGATATGGATTGACACCTGTCCTCAGAAACCATGATACACACTGACACAGAGCAGAATAGAGACTGTTCCCCCTACATAGGGTCACTTGGCAGATATGGATTGACACCTGTCCTCAGAGCCCCTGATACACACTGACACAGAGCAGAATAGAGACTGTTTCCCCTACATAGGGTCACTTGGCAGATATGGATTGACACCTTTCCTCATAGATCATGATACACACTGACACAGAGCAGAATAGAGACTGTTCCTCCTACATAGGGTCACTTGGCAGATATGGATTGACAACTGTCCTCAGAGACCATGATACACACTGACACAGAGCAGAATAGAGACTGTTTCCCCTACATAGGGTCACTTGGCAGATATGGATTGACAACTGTCCTCAGAGACCATGATACACACTGACACAGAGCAGAATAGAGACTGTTCTCCTACATAGGGTCACATGGCAGATATGGATTGACACCTGTCCTCCGAGATCATGATACACACTGACACAGAGCAGAATAGAGACTGTTCCCCCTACATAGGGTCACTTGGCAGATATGGATTGACACTTGTCCTCAGAGTCCCTGATACACACTGACACAGAGCAGAATAGAGACTGTTCCTCCTACATAGGGTCACTTGGCAGATATGGATTGACACCTGTCCTCAGAGATCATGATACACACTGACACAGAGCAGAATAGAGACTGTCCCCCCTACATAGGGTCACTTGGCAGATAAGGATTGACACCTGTCCTCAGAGCCTCTGATACACACTGACACAGAGCAGAATAGTTACTGTCCCCCCTACATAGGGTCACTTGGCAGATAAGGATTGACACCTGTCCTCAGAGACCATGATACACACTGACACCGAGCAGAATAGAGACTGTTCCCCCTACATAGAGTCACTTGGCAGATATGGATTGACACCTGTCCTAAGGATCCCTGATAAACTATGACACAGAGCAGAATAGGAACTGTTCCTCCTACATAGGGTCACTTGGCAGATATGGATTGACACCTGTCCTCAGAGATCATGATACACACTGACACTGAGCAGAATAGAGACTGTTCCCCTACATAGGGTCACTTGGCAGGTATGGATTGACACCTGTCCTCAGAGACCATGATACACACTGACACAGAGCAGAATAGCGACTTTTCCCCCTACATAGGGTCTCTTGGCAGATATGGATTGACACCTGTCCTCAGAACCCCTGTTACACACACTGACACAGAGCAGAATAGAGACTGTTCCTCCTACATAGGGTCACTTGGAAGATATGGATTGACACCTGTCCTCAGAGATCATGATACACAATGACACAGAGCAGAAAAGAGACTGTTCCCCCTACATAGGGTCACTTGGCAGATATGGATTGACACCTGTCCTCAAAGCCCCTGATACACACTGACACAGAGCAGAATAGAGACTGTTCCCCTACATAGGGTTACTTGGCAGATATGGATTGACACCTGTCCTCAGAGACCATGATACACACTGACACAGAGCAGAATAGAGACTGTTCCCCCTACATAGGGTCACTTGGCAGATATGGATTGACACCTGTCCTAGGGATCCCTGATACACACTGACACAGAGCAGAATAGGGGCTGTTCCCCTACATAGGGTCACTTGGCAGATATGGATTGACACCTGTCCTAAGGATCCCTGATACACAATGACACAGAGCAGAATAGGGACTGTTACCCTACATAGGGTCACTTGGCAGATATGGATTGACACCTGTCCTCAGAGATCATGATACACACTGACACAGAGCAGAATAGAGACTGTTCCTCCTACATAGGGTCACTTGGCAGATATGGATTGACACCTGTCCTCAGATACCATGATACACACTGACACAGAGCAGAATAGAGACTGTTCCCCTACATAGGGTCACTTGGCAGATATGGATTGACACCTGTCCTCAGAGCCCCTGATACACACTGACTCAGAGCAGAATAGAGACTGTTCCTCCTACATAGGGTCACTTGGCAGATATGGATTGACACCTGTCCTCAGAGATCATGATACACACTGACACAGAGCAGAATAGAGACTGTTCCCCCTACATAGGGTCACTTGGCAGATATGGATTGACACTGTCCACAAGGACAAGCTGCAGGCTTCCTGGCAGGGCCCATACAAGGTGGTAGAGCAGGTTTGTGATACCACCTTTGTGATCGGTGCGGTCACAGGCACGGGAGGCAAGCGCATGCTCCATGTGAACATGCTCAAGCCATACCACGAGCGCACGGAAGAGGTAACCGCGATCTGTGCACCTGCCACTGAAGATTATGATAATTTGCCACTTCCA